ATGGTGTGGTGGTGGTGGTAATGGTTGTTGTTGTTGGTGGTACTTGTTGTTGGTGGTAATGGTTGTTGTTGGTGGTGGTGTTGTTGTGTGTGGTTGGTTGTTGTTGGTGGTTGTGGTTGTTGTTGGTGGTGGTGGTTGTTGTTGGTGGTAATGGTTGTTGTTGGTGGTAGTGGTTGTTGTTGGTGGTAGTGGTTGTTGTTGGTGGTGGTGGTTGTTGTTGGTGGTAATGGTTGTTGTTGGTGGTAATGGTTGTTGTTGGTGGTAGTGGTTGTTGTTGGTGGTGGTGGTTGTTGTTGGTGGTAATGGTTGTTGTTGGTGGTTGTTGTTGGTGGTGTTGGTTGTTGTTGTTGGTGGTACTGGTTGTTGGTGGTTGTTGTTGGTGGTAATGGTTTGTTGGTGGTGTGTGGTGGTGGTTGTTGGTGGTAGTGGTTGGGTGGTGGTTGTTGGTGTACTGGTTGTTGGTGGTAATGGTTGTTGTTGTGGTACTGGTTGTTGGTGGTTGGTTGTTGTTGGTGGTTGTGGTTGTTGGTTGTTGGTTGTTGGTGGTGGTGGTTGGTTGTTGTTGGTTGGTGGTGGTGGTTGTTGTGGTATGGTTGTTGTTGGTGGTAATGGGTTGTTGTTGGTGGGTGGTGGTTGTGGTTGGTGGTGGTGGTTGTTGGTGGTTGTTGTGGGTGGTTGTGGTGTTGTTGGTGGTGTGGTTGGTTGTTGGTGGTAATGGTTGTTGTGGTACTGGTTGTTGGTGGTGGTGGTGGTGGTGGTTGGTTGTTGTTGGTGGTGGTGTTGTTGTGTTGTTGGTGGTGGTACTGTTGTTGGTGGTATGGTTGTTGTTGGTGGTTGGTTGTTGTTGGTGGTAATGGTTGTGTTGTTGGTGGTGTTGTTGGTGGTAATGGTTGTTGTTGGTGGTAATGGTTGTTGTTGGTGGTGGTTGTTGATTATAACTCCGTAATAACCCACAAAGTTATAACTCTGAACTTACTGTAAAAGTTCCCTGGAAGCCTGATTCATTCATGTTTATGTAATTGGAAGAATATATAATATTGCTATGAAAACCTTGTTGTTAGCTGCACACTACACTCGTGGCCACGACTGTTGTTAGCTGCACACTACACTCGTGGCCACGACTGGTGTTAGCTGCACACTACACCCGTGGCCACGACTGTTGTTAGCTGCACACTACACTCGTGGCCACGACTGTTGTTAGCCCACGACTGTTGTTAGCTGCACACTACACTCGTGGCCACGACTGTTGTTAGCTGCACACTACACCCGTGGCCACGACTGTTGTTAGCTGCACACTACACTCGTGGCCACGACTGTTGTTAGCTGCACACTACACTCGTGGCCACGACTGTTGTTAGCTGCACACTACACTCGTGGCCACGACTGTTGTTAGCTGCACACTACACTCGTGGCCACGACTGTTGTTAGCTGCACACTACACTCGTGGCCACGACTGTTGTTAGCTGCACACTACACCCGTGGCCACGACTGTTGTTAGCTGCACACTACACTCGTGGCCACGACTGTTGTTAGCTGCACACTACACCCGTGGCCACGACTGTTGTTAGCTGCACACTACACCCGTGGCCACGACTGTTGTTAGCTGCACACTACACTCGTGGCCACGACTGTTGTTAGCTGCACACTACACTCGTGGCCACGACTGTTGTTAGCTGCACACTACACTCGTGGCCACGACTGTTGTTAGCTGCACACTACACTCGTGGCCACGACTGTTGTTAGCTGCACACTACACTCGTGGCCACGACTGTTGTTAGCTGCACACTACACTCGTGGCCACGACTGTTGTTAGCTGCACACTACACTCGTGGCCACGACTGTTGTTAGCTGCACACTACACTCGTGGCCACGACTGTTGTTAGCTGCACACTACACTCGTGGCCACGACTGTTGTTAGCTGCACACTACACTCGTGGCCACGACTGTTGTTAGCTGCACACTACACTCGTGGCCACGACTGTTGTTAGCTGCACACTACACTCGTGGCCACGACTGTTGTTAGCTGCACACTACACTCGTGGCCACGACTGTTGTTAGCTGCACACTACACTCGTGGCCACGACTGTTGTTAGCTGCACACTACACTCGTGGCCACGACTGTTGTTAGCTGCACACTACACTCGTGGCCACGACTGTTGTTAGCTGCACACTACACTCGTGGCCACGACTGTTGTTAGCTGCACACTACACTCGTGGCCACGACTGTTGTTAGCTGCACACTACACTCGTGGCCACGACTGTTGTTAGCTGCACACTACACTCGTGGCCACGACTGTTGTTAGCTGCACACTACACTCGTGGCCACGACTGTTGTTAGCTGCACACTACACTCGTGGCCACGACTGTTGTTAGCTGCACACTACACTCGTGGCCACGACTGTTGTTAGCTGCACACTACACTCTGCACACTACACTGGCCACGACTGTTGTTAGCTGCACACTACACTCGTGGCCACGACTGTTGTTAGCTGCACACTACACTCGTGGCCACGACTGTTGTTAGCTGCACACTACACTCGTGGCCACGACTGTTGTTAGCTGCACACTACACTCGTGGCCACGACTGTTGTTAGCTGCACACTACACTCGTGGCCACGACTGTTGTTAGCTGCACACTACACTCGTGGCCACGACTGTTGTTAGCTGCACACTACACTCGTGGCCACGACTGTTGTTAGCTGCACACTACACTCGTGGCCACGACTGTTGTTAGCTGCACACTACACTCGTGGCCACGACTGTTGTTAGCTGCACACTACACTCGTGGCCACGACTGTTGTTAGCTGCACACTACACTCGTGGCCACGACTGTTGTTAGCTGCACACTACACTCGTGGCCACGACTGTTGTTAGCTGCACACTACACTCGTGGCCACGACTGTTGTTAGCTGCACACTACACTCGTGGCCACGACTGTTGTTAGCTGCACACTACACTCGTGGCCACGACTGTTGTTAGCTGCACACTACACTCGTGGCCACGACTGTTGTTAGCTGCACACTACACTCGTGGCCACGACTGTTGTTAGCTGCACACTACACTCGTGGCCACGACTGTTGTTAGCTGCACACTACACTCGTGGCCACGACTGTTGTTAGCTGCACACTACACTCGTGGCCACGACTGTTGTTAGCTGCACACTACACTCGTGGCCACGACTGTTGTTAGCTGCACACTACACTCGTGGCCACGACTGTTGTTAGCTGCACACTACACTCGTGGCCACGACTGTTGTTAGCTGCACACTACACTCGTGGCCACGACTGTTGTTAGCTGCACACTACACTCGTGGCCACGACTGTTGTTAGCTGCACACTACACTCGTGGCCACGACTGTTGTTAGCTGCACACTACACTCGTGGCCACGACTGTTGTTAGCTGCACACTACACTCGTGGCCACGACTGTTGTTAGCTGCACACTACACTCGTGGCCACGACTGTTGTTAGCTGCACACTACACTCGTGGCCACGACTGTTGTTAGCTGCACACTACACTCGTGGCCACGACTGTTGTTAGCTGCACACTACACTCGTGGCCACGACTGTTGTTAGCTGCACACTACACTCGTGGCCACGACTGTTGTTAGCTGCACACTACACTCGTGGCCACGACTGTTGTTAGCTGCACACTACACTCGTGGCCACGACTGTTGTTAGCTGCACACTACACTCGTGGCCACGACTGTTGTTAGCTGCACACTACACTCGTGGCCACGACTGTTGTTAGCTGCACACTACACTCGTGGCCACGACTGTTGTTAGCTGCACACTACACTCGTGGCCACGACTGTTGTTAGCTGCACACTACACTCGTGGCCACGACTGTTGTTAGCTGCACACTACACTCGTGGCCACGACTGTTGTTAGCTGCACACTACACTCGTGGCCACGACTGTTGTTAGCTGCACACTACACTCGTGGCCACGACTGTTGTTAGCTGCACACTACACTCGTGGCCACGACTGTTGTTAGCTGCACACTACACTCGTGGCCACGACTGTTGTTAGCTGCACACTACACTCGTGGCCACGACTGTTGTTAGCTGCACACTACACTCGTGGCCACGACTGTTGTTAGCTGCACACTACACTCGTGGCCACGACTGTTGTTAGCTGCACACTACACTCGTGGCCACGACTGTTGTTAGCTGCACACTACACTCGTGGCCACGACTGTTGTTAGCTGCACACTACACTCGTGGCCACGACTGTTGTTAGCTGCACACTACTGTTGTTAGCTGCACACTACACTCGTGGCCACGACTGTTGTTAGCTGCACACTACTCGTGGCCACGACTGTTGTTAGCTGCACACTACACTCGTGGCCACGACTGTTGTTAGCTGCACACTACACTCGTGGCCACGACTGTTGTTAGCTGCACACTACACTCGTGGCCACGACTGTTGTTAGCTGCACACTACACTCGTGGCCACGACTGTTGTTAGCTGCTCACTACACTCGTGGCCACGACTGTTGCTAGCTGCACACTACACTCGTGGCCACGACTGTTGTTAGCTGCACACTACACTCGTGGCCACGACTGTTGTTAGCTGCACACTACACTCGTGGCCACGACTGTTGTTAGCTGCACACTACTCTCGTGGCCACGACTGTTGTTAGCTGCACACTACACTCGTGGCCACGACTGTTGTTAGCTGCACACTACACTCGTGGCCACGACTGTTGTTAGCTGCACACTACACTCGTGGCCACGACTGTTGTTAGCTGCTCACTACACTCGTGGCCACGACTGTTGTTAGCTGCACACTACACTCGTGGCCACGACTGTTGTTAGCTGCACACTACACTCGTGGCCACGACTGTTGTTAGCTGCTCACTACACTCGTGGCCACGACTGTTGTTAGCTGCTCACTACACTCGTGGCCACGACTGTTGTTAGCTGCACACTACACTCATGGCCACGACTGCCACGACCTTGACTTTTAAACTATTTTGTTTTAGTGATAATATTTTTGGAGTTAATATTGTCAACTCTAAACATGTTAATATATGTAACAAAATAGTTTCTGTATTATTAAGAAATAATCGTAATAGAATAGTTTCATTATAGTAATAACATTGCATTATAATATTTGCCGTCTCGCTGGCAACATTTTCCTTCTTACAATATACTTGTTAATACGTTAAGTTCCTTCTCTCCCCCAGAACACTCAGGCCTCAGACTTCTCTCAAGGTGTAGCTTTATAACTAATTCCATTAGCTGCCACTTTGAGCAATAGCTGAAGCTGCGGCCCGTGTTCACCAACTACCTGGCAGGTTAGTTGACACCACCTCTACCACGGTGGTAGTGGTGGTGTTGTAAACATTACCACGGTGGTAGTGGTGGTGTTGTAAACATTACCACTCTGGTAGTGGTGGTGTTGTAAACATTACCACTCTGGTAGTGGTGGTGTTGTAAACATTACCACGGTGGTAGTGGTGATGTTGTAAACATTACCACTCTGGTAGTGGTGGTGTTGTAAACATTACCACGGTGGTAGTGGTGGTGTTGTAAACATTACCACTCTGGTAGTGGTGGTGTTGTAAACATTACCACTCTGGTAGTGGTGGTGTTGTAAACATTACCACTCTGGTAGTGGTGGTGTTGTAAACATTACCACTCTGGTAGTGGTGGTGTTGTAAACATTACCACGGTGGTAGTGGTGATGTTGTAAACATTACCACGGTGGTAGTGGTGGTGTTGTAAACATTACCACGGTGGTAGTGGTGGTGTTGTAAACATTACCACTCTGGTAGTGGTGGTGTTGTAAACATTACCACGGTGGTAGTGGTGATGTTGTAAACATTACCACGGTGGTAGTGGTGGTGTTGTAAACATTACCACGGTGGTAGTGGTGGTGTTGTAAACATTACCACGGTGGTAGTGGTGGTGTTGTAAACATTACCACGGTGGTAGTGGTGATGTTGTAAACATTACCACGGTGGTAGTGGTGATGTTGTAAACATTACCACTTTGGTAGTGGTGGTGTTGTAAACATTACCACTCTGGTAGTGGTGGTGTTGTAAACATTACCACTCTGGTAGTGGTGGTGTTGTAAACATTACCACTCTGGTAGTGGTGGTGTTGTAAACATTACCACTCTGGTAGTGGTGGTGTTGTAAACATTACCACGGTGGTAGTGGTGGTGTTGTAAACATTACCACTCTGGTAGTGGTGGTGTTGTAAACATTACCACGGTGGTAGTGGTGATGTTGTAAACATTACCACGGTGGTAGTGGTAGTGTTGTAAACATTACCACGGTGGTAGTGGTGGTGTTGTAAACATTACCACTCTGGTAGTGGTGGTGTTGTAAACATTACCACGGTGGTAGTGGTGATGTTGTAAACATTACCACGGTGGTAGTGGTAGTGTTGTAAACATTACCACGGTGGTAGTGGTGGTGTTGTAAACATTACCACGGTGGTAGTGGTGGTGTTGTAAACATTACCACGGTGGTAGTGGTGATGTTGTAAACATTACCACGGTGGTAGTGGTAGTGTTGTAAACATTACCACGGTGGTAGTGGTGGTGTTGTAAACATTACCACTCTGGTAGTGGTGGTGTTGTAAACATTACCACGGTGGTAGTGGTGGTGTTGTAAACATTACCACGGTGGTAGTGGTGGTGTTGTAAACATTACCACTCTGGTAGTGGTGGTGTTGTAAACATTACCACGGTGGTAGTGGTGATGTTGTAAACATTACCACGGTGGTAGTGGTAGTGTTGTAAACATTACCACGGTGGTAGTGGTGGTGTTGTAAACATTACCACTCTGGTAGTGGTGGTGTTGTAAACATTACCACGGTGGTAGTGGTGATGTTGTAAACATTACCACGGTGGTAGTGGTAGTGTTGTAAACATTACCACGGTGGTAGTGGTGGTGTTGTAAACATTACCACGGTGGTAGTGGTGGTGTTGTAAACATTACCACGGTGGTAGTGGTGATGTTGTAAACATTACCACGGTGGTAGTGGTAGTGTTGTAAACATTACCACGGTGGTAGTGGTGGTGTTGTAAACATTACCACTCTGGTAGTGGTGGTGTTGTAAACATTACCACGGTGGTAGTGGTGATGTTGTAAACATTACCACGGTGGTAGTGGTAGTGTTGTAAACATTACCACGGTGGTAGTGGTGGTGTTGTAAACATTACCACGGTGGTAGTGGTGGTGTTGTAAACATTACCAAGGTGGTAGTGGTGGTGTTGTAAACATTACCACGGTGGTAGTGGTGGTGTTGTAAACATTACCACGGTGGTAGTGGTGGTGTTGTAAACATTACCACGGTGGTAGTGGTGGTGTTGTAAACATTACCAAGGTGGTAGTGGTGGTGTTGTAAACATTACCACGGTGGTAGTGGTGATGTTGCCAACAATGATAATTACTGTGATCATATTACAGAAGGTGTCTGACGGAGTAACATGACTATGAGAAGCTGTAGCCTATGTTGTCGTGTATTTAACAAGGCGGCCCTCATGCTCCTGCTCCTGCTGCTCTTCTCGATATGTGGCCTCATCTTCCTCACCAGGTAGGCTGTTTATAGTCATGCTACACCCTGTTGTTTGTGTGAGGGCTCATCTTCCTCAGCAGGTAGGCTGTTTATAGTCATGCTACACCCTGTTGTTTGTGTGAGGGCTCAGCTTCCTCAGCAGGTAGGCTGTTTATAGTCATGCTACACCCTGTTGTTTGTGTGAGGGCTCATCTTCCTCACCAGGTAGGCTGTTTATAGTCATGCTACACCCTGTTGTTTGTGTGAGGGCTCAGCTTCCTCACCAGGTAGGCTGTTTATAGTCATGCTACACCCTGTTGTTTGTGTGAGGGCTCAGCTTCCTCACCAGGTAGGCTGTTTATAGTCATGCTACACCCTGTTGTTTGTGTGAGGGCTCAGCTTCCTCACCAGGTAGGCTGTTTATAGTCATGCTGCACCCTGTTGTTTGTGTGAGGGCTCAGCTTCCTCACCAGGTAGGCTGTTTATAGTCATGCTACACCCTGTTGTTTGTGTGAGGGCTCAGCTTCCTCACCAGGTAGGCTGTTTATAGTCATGCTACACCCTGTTGTTTGTGTGAGGGCTCAGCTTCCTCACCAGGTAGGCTGTTTATAGTCATGCTACACCCTGTTGTTTGTGTGAGGGCTCAGCTTCCTCACCAGGTAGGCTGTTTATAGTCATGCTACACCCTGTTGTTTGTGTGAGGGCTCATCTTCCTCACCAGGTAGGCTGTTTATAGTCATGCTGCACCCTGTTGTTTGTGTGAGGGCTCAGCTTCCTCACCAGGTAGGCTGTTTATAGTCATGCTGCACCCTGTTGTTTGTGTGAGGGCTCATCTTCCTCACCAGGTAGGCTGTTTATAGTCATGCTGCACCCTGTTGTTTGTGTGAGGGCTCATCTTCCTCACCAGGTAGGCTGTTTATAGTTATGCTACACCCTGTTGTTTGTGTGAGGGCTCAGCTTCCTCACCAGGTAGGCTGTTTATAGTCATGCTACACCCTGTTGTTTGTGTGAGGGCTCAGCTTCCTCACCAGGTAGGCTGTTTATAGTCATGCTACACCCTGTTGTTTGTGTGAGGGCTCAGCTTCCTCACCAGGTAGGCTGTTTATAGTCATGCTGCACCCTGTTGTTTGTGTGAGGGCTCAGCTTCCTCACCAGGTAAGCTGTTTATAGTCATGCTACACCCTGTTGTTTGTGAGGGCTCAGCTTCCTCACCAGGTAAGCTGTTTATAGTCATGCTGCACCCTGTTGTTTGTGAGGGCTCAGCTTCCTCACCAGGTAGGCTGTTTATACCTCAACATATTTGGTGCTCTTCTCAACTCGTCTCTCATATTATCTTGAAAATATGTAAAGTTGCCACAAGTTGAAAAGCTGAAGTTGCAACAAATGATTGTTATTGCCAACCATTAATTTTTGACTTTACATGGCTCAGTGATGAACTTGCCAGCATTAACTGGGAATACACAACTGTAAACAGTATACATATTCCACTTATTAGAAGAGTACGGAGGAGGAGGAGGAGGAATATTATCGGCTACTCGTTCTCTCAATATTTATATAACAGACTTGATGTTTAGCAAGGAGCCACCATATACACTATAGGGATATTGGTAACTTGAATTAGGTGACAATATATAGCTAACCTGTCTTAGAGACTTGTAAATCAAATAATACATTCATGAATTCCACTAAGAACATGATCTGTCTCGAAAATTGAAGCTTAGAAAGGGATTGTAGACACTGGCACACATGTCACATTAAAGGCAAATATATCAAGGTGAGAGTAAAGACTCCTCCGGTGTGAGGACACAGGCGGTAACGTGTACACTTGGAAACATCCAGTTTAGACTGGCCGACACGTGTTTCTCTCTTGTTCAATATTAATAAAACTCTGACACAAATAAACTAAAATTCGAATACCGAGTCGTGCAGGACTCTCCCTTGTGAGGTGGCACTGGCACCACGGGTACCCAGTGCAGGCGACGAGTCACAATAACGGGGCTGAAGAATGTTGACCAGACCACACACTACAAGGGGAAGGGACGACGACGTTTCGGACCGTCCTGAACGATTCGGACCGTCCTGGACTGAGAATGGTCCAGGACGGACCTAAATGTCGTCGTCCCTTCACCTTGTAGCGTGTGGTCTGGTCAACAAGGGTACCCAGTCACTCACAGAGGGGTTACTCCACATGTGTCTTCCCCTGTGAGCAGTGGCATGAAGACCGGCAGTGTCCTTACTGCAGCTTCTTCTCACACAGCGCTGCTCACTACCTCCCGTTCCTGGTCGCCACACACGAACCCGACTAGCAACGTCGCCGACTTGGGCGACTCCACTTTAGCCACCAAATAACTGTGGTATGAGACTAGGTCACACACCTGCTACTGGTACTGGGGCGCCTCTCCTCCCCAGTGAGGGACTAGGCCACACACCTGCTACTGGTACTGGGGCGCCTCTCCTCCCCAGTGTGGGACTAGGTCACACACCTGCTACTGGTACTGGGGCGCCTCTCCTCCCCAGTGAGGGACTAGGCCACACACCCGCTACTGGTACTGGGGCGCCTCTCCTCCCCAGTGAGGGACTAGGCCACACACCTGCTACTGGTACTGGTGCACCTCATAAGATTATCAGATGCAATTTAATGCTGATAAATGTAAAGTTCTGAGGCTAGGTAATGATGATAGAGTTACAAGATACGAGCTAGATGGTGTTGAGATTGCGAAGCCAGATTGCGAAAGGGATCTGGGAGTTATGATTAGTAAGAATTTAAAACCAAAGGAACAATGCATAAATGTTCGTAATAAGGCATGTAGGACACTGGGATTTATTAATCTTAGCGTTAGTAACAAGACACCTGGTGTGGTTCTTCAGCTATATCTTGCTCTGGTTAGGCCCCATTTAGATTATGCAGTTCAGTTTTGGTCGCCGTACTATAGAATGGATATAAATACTCTGAGTACTCTCAGTGATGCTTTTCATTGTTAACTGTTTTAATAATGTAGAGGGTACACTATCTTTCTTGGACGCATTTACAAAATCAACTGATGGATCCCAGTTGTCAAGCATCACTGAGAGTACTCAGAGTATGGGTAACGATGTGTATCAGTGCTATACCGACGGTTGTGTAGAAGGTACCGGATGTGCATGTAATATATTTGAACAATCTTCTCTCGTACATACAGCAATGAAGTGCGTCAATGACTGGGCAAGTACAACTCAAACCGAACTTGCAGGCATATATCTTGCCACTGAATTTTTAAAAGACAAAGGCAGTGGATTTATATACTATGACTCACAGAGTGCACTCCTGGCACTGAACGCACATAGTAGTGACACCCAGAAAATAGTCAGTGATATTCGAATGAATGTTTTAGCTGCTAAAGAAAACAGATTTGAAATTAAATTCCTATGGATACCATCACATGTTGGCATCTCAAGGCATGACACTGTTGATATGCTTGCAAAGACAGCTTGTAGAAAACCAGTGGTAGAAATTGATATGGGTGTTTCATTAGCAGTGACAAAGAGAATACTTAAATAAATATCTAATGAAAATCTCACCGACCTAACAAAAAGACCTGAAAGTTGTAGCATTAAATATTATGATAGATATCGTGAGGAGACATTCACATATGAGACTAATAGAACAAGAACCCGGCAATGTGATGTTATAGTGGCCAGAATACGCCTGGGTTATAGACGTATCTGGCAGCTTTCTCAAAACCCAAATGTCGAGTACACAATGTGTCAACTTTGTGAAAGAGAAAACATGCACTCTCTTGAATATTATATCGCCTAAGTGTGGCGATACAGAGGGGAAATGCGCACTGCATCCAGGGTTCCTGCCCGCCATCTGAGGAGCTGGAGGAACTCGACAACCTATGATAACTATCTTTGTAACCATATGTAACTCCTTTTTTGTAACAAAGTTCAAATAAAGTAAATATATATGTGTACATACAAAAGAATGGGGGTGGTAGGAGAAGATAATATTAGTGTTCAGTGAGAAACCACAAGGTCTCCTCTGAATACTTTTTATTTTCTTCTCCGAGGCTATGGGTCCCCTATATATATATATATATATATATATATATATATATATATATATATATATATATATATATATATATATATATATATATATATATGCGAACAAGCCTGAATGGGCCCCAGGACTATATGCAACTGAAAACTCACACCCCAGAAGTGACTCGAATCCATACTGCCAGGAGCAACGCAACTGGTATGCACAGGACGCCTTAATCCGCTTGACCATCACGACCGGACAAAAGGAAGTTATAGCCGAAGCTATTTGAACCACTTCCCCGCCGGCACTCGGATATGGTGCCGGCGGGGAAGAATGAGGTGATTTGATAAAATGCTATGCCCAAGATTGCCATCTGACTTTTGATGTGTAGTGCCTCGCAGATGTAAAGCCGCCTGCTATCGCTGTATCTATCGATGATTTCTGTGTTGTTTGTTAAGACTTCTCTGGTGATGGTCTATTTGTGGGAAGAGATTATATGTTCCTTAATGGAGCCCTGTTGCTTATGTATTGTTAATCGCTTGGAAAGAGATGTTGTTGTCTTGCCTATATACTGAGTTCTTTGGGGCTTAAAGTCCGCAAGTGGACATTTGAGGGCATAGACGACGTTAGTCTCCTTTAAGGCGTTCTGCTTGGTGTCTGGAGAGTTTTTCATGAGTAGATTGGCCGTCTTTTTGGTTTTATAGTAAATCGTCAATTGTATCTTCTGATGTTTGTCTGTAGGGATAACGTTCCTATTAACAATATCTTACAGGACCCTTTCCTCCGTTTTATGAGCTGTGGAAAAGAAGTTCCCCATAATAGTCAAATAGGGGATACAGGTGTTGTATTAGTTGACTCTTCGGAGGTTGCATGGCATTTCACCTTCCTATTTATGATGTCTTCAACGAAACCATTGGAGAAGCCGTTGTTGACTAGGACCTGCCTTACCCTACAGAGTTCTTCATCGACTTGCTTCCATCCTGAGCTGTGGCTGAGAGCACGGTCGACGTAAGCGTTGACAACACTCCTCTTGTACCTGTCTGGGCAGGCACTGTTAGCATTGAGGCACATTCCTATGTTTGTTTCCTTAGCGTAGACTGCATTGTGGAAACCTCCGCTTCTTTCCGTGACTGTTACATCTAGAAAGGTCAGCTTCCCATCCTTCTCCATCTCGTAAGTGAAACTCAACACAGAATTCTGCTCGAATGCCTCCTTCAGCTCCTGCAGATGTCTGACATCAGGTACCTGTGTAAAAATGTCGTCAACATACCTGCAGTATATGGCAGGTTTAGAGTTCATGCCTAGGGAAGAACCCATGGCGACCCCATCTACTTGCTTATACATGTGCCCATCCGGGCTCAAGAAGGGTGCCTCTTGACGGAAGACGAGTGGACGGAAGTGAGAGTCTTTTTTTTTTTTTGCAGGGATATTCCTGTGCGGAAGTGAGAGATGGTGGGGATGACGAAGGGACAAGGGACGGGGTAGTGGTGGGAGAAGGACGAGGGGACGGGGGAGTTTGGGATGGTGGGGATGAGGGGATGGGGAATGGTGGGGAGGACAAAGAAGTGTTCCTGGGACATGAATATAAACACCCAGCTGGTGACCTTGAGAGAGAGAGAGTTCCCAGTGTCTCGGCGGACAGATTTAACCGAGAGACAGGTAAGGTTGGATTTCCCCACTCGCCAGGGGTGCAATTCAAGGCCAGCCCTTTGTAGACTGGGGGGCCCAGGGTGAGCAGTGGTGCACAGGTACGGAGGGGGCGAAGACCCGCGGGAATAACCCTAACTACATAAATTAAAAAGGGGTGAAACGGTGACACATGGCAGACCCAGCACTCAGACCGACCATGTTGAAAGCCAAGAAACAACACAGCTGGGACAGTCCCATTGTAGACAAACAAGCCACAGCTTTGCTGGAGGCAGCACCAACCCTCAGTGGTTGTGCACGCCTCACAGCTGTGCAGGCTCCCCATGCAGGGGACTTCGTTTCGGCAGTTCCTATGTCTGCGACAGACACACGTCTTGATCCGCAGCAGCTCCGTATTGCAGTCATTCTCCGCCTTGTTGCCCCCTATCCACACTGTTCATTGGTGTATTTGCGGCGAGGCAGATGCAGACGAATATTAATTGCATGGCCTGCACTGTGGAAAATCAGGCAGTTGGCGAACACAACACGACGAAGTCAACGACATCATTAAGAGGGGCCTTGCCTCCACCCAGTGTCCAGCAGATAGAGAGCCTCTCAATCTATTGAACCATATCTCGGTTAGCTTTGCTGGCTGACCAGATGGAATCACTGCACCCATGGAAAAATGGCAGACAATTTGCGTGGGACTATTTTTGCGTATCCACTCTGGCAACCACATACATCAACCTCTCTATCGGCCAAACAAGAGCCGTGGCCACACACAGAGTAAGAGCAAGTCAACCAAGTACAGGGAAATAGATCACTGGTACAACTTTGTTCCAATTGGATCTGAGATTCTTGATCCACGGGAAGAGAGTGCAAGGAGGCTTCTTAAGGATATTGATTCCAGGCTCATTAAAACTACAAGAGACCCCTAGAGTGGCAAGGTTTCTCTTCCAGCGCTTGAGTGTAGCGATCCAGAGGGGGAATGTCCGCAGCATCCTCGGTTCCTGCCCGGCGTCGGAGTAGTTCGAGGAAATCTAAAGCCTCTAGGAAACAAACTTCCCTTTATTTCCTCTTAATGTTCACTTTTAGAATCCACTCAAATGTGTAACTGTGTAACCTTGTATAATAACGTGTACAACATAAATAATAAAAACAGGGGTAGTAGAAGTGAATACTCATGCGTACTTAGAGTTAAGTGGCAAATTTTCCTCTGAAAACTCTGTATTCCATTCTCCAAGGCAATGGGTCACTACAAATGCACCAGAGGTTTTATGTCCATGATTTAGGTCCCCTGTGACTAGAAGTTTAGCTTACATTTCGTATGCCACTGTTGCTGCTCTCTGCAATTCATCAGTGCATGCTTTCTTGTTGTCATCATATGTATACAACCACCCAGCATCTGCTATATGTCTCCCGATGGTGGAGTCTGTGTATACATTTTCTTTGTGATTCTGCAGTTTTTTTTAACTTCCACTCCCGTTTTCTAGGAGTGTAACTCACCCTCCTTGTCTCTACGTTGTTTCCTTATTATAAAGAATCCTCCTGGAAATATTGCATCAGATATCATATAGTTTATTTTAATTTCCACTATTGCAATTATATCAGGATCATTTTCACGAACCCTTTCTTTATTCTTTTATTTCCACTGATTTAAAACTTTGTTTTTGTGTTACAAGTCCAAGATGAGCCTTAAGGCTCTTCTTGGACTCTGTTCCCAGAAGTGTCAGAGGCATGGAGTGGGTGGCAGGCAGGGATTAGGTGGGAGATGGGGAGTAGATGGGAGTCAGGTAGTGGGTGGGAGTCAGGTAGTGGGTGGGAGTCAGGTAGTGGGTGGGAGTCAGGTAGTGGGTGGGAGTCAGGTAGTGGGTGGGAGTCAGAGAGAGAGAGAGAGAGAGAGAGGATGGGAGTCAGAGAGAGGGTGGGAGTCAGAGAGAGAGAGAGAAAGCGTGGGAGTCAGAGAGAGGGTGGGAGTCAGAGAGAGAGAGAGAGAGGGTGGGAGTCAGAGAGAGGGTGGGAGTCAGAGAGAGAGAGAGAGAGAGAGAGAGAGAGAGGGTGGGAGTCAGAGAGAGGGTGGGAGTCAGAGAGAGAGAGAGAGAGAGAGAGAGAGGGTGGAAGTTAGAGAGAGAGAGAGAGAGAGAGGATGGGAGTCAGGTAGTGGGTGGGAGGCAGGTTATGGGTGGGAGGTAAGGAGTCGGTGGGAGGCAGGGAGCGGGCCTGAGTCAAAGGGGGTTGGGGGTAAAACAGAGGTGTAGGGCAGAGTAGGGTCAGGTACAGTGAGAAAGATGTATGAGCAAGCATGGGTGAGTGGGGGGGGAGGGTGGGATGGGTCAGATCACCTAGTAGAGGATTGGGGTCATCCTGGGTGATTATGGCAATGGTAGGATGTGGGGGAGTGGTTGGGCACTAACATCACTAAACCACCACAGTCTATAAAACGCCTTTCATGTGGGTGCAAGTGAAGCCTAGAAGTGTATTGGAGACTCAACACAAAAGACAGGATGTTAAATTATAATGCCATTCACAAAACTCTTTAGGAAATTAATGTGTATTTTTATTATTGCAGGTTCAGTTATTGGGAGAGAGCGGTGACGACAACAGTCTGGTGGAGATCTCACATGCTCCTCAACAAGGCGGCCTCTGGCGGCCTCAACTCTACCACAATGTGCGTTCTGCCTCACCCACACAAATTGCAGATATTTAGATATTATTGACTTTCCGTTTTAATTATACTATAATCTCTAAAGATCAAGTGTTCAGGGAATTAAATTTTCATATGTTCTTTGTGGGCTTGACATTTCAGTGAGGAGTACCCGGAGCCGGCCATCAACAGGACAGTCAGGGAAGACACGGATCCCGTCCTTGAAGCTCTACCAAATCTGCCTCTCAGTTACCACAAAAACAATAATCCACACTTTCCGTCAGGCAACAAGAGCTGTGGCCAGTACCCTCCACTGTTCGATATTAGCTTTAATAATATTTACTGGCAGGTGTTACAAACGAGCAATGTCACTTTCTACCTGCTGAGTGCATCTTACGACAACCGCACTCTTAGTAAGACCAAACCTTCCCTTCGCATAGTTACCATGGTCAATCACTATAAACCTACCGTGAAGATTCACTGTCAGATCTGGTTTGATAATAAATCTTTCCCTATTATTTCAAATGTTACAGACTATCAATATATATGGAAGAGAAGTTGGGGTTATTACAAGGGAAGAGAAATGGAGCCGTACCTACTAGAGTGTGTGGTTCCCGCTGAACATAGGCACGAAGTGCCACAGTCAGTGTCGCTGGTGCAGAACCCTTGCCACAAACCCACTAACAACCTTCGCATTGTCAACAACCAGCCCGAAGATGGTCAGAAAAAGAATTTTGCTGTATGCGTCAAAGGGTTAGACTTTCCTTCTGCAGACTTAAGTGTGCGTATCATAGAGTGGCTTGAGCTGGTGTTCCTCCTTGGTGCTGACAAGGTGTTCCTCTATAATCTGGGGATACACCCAAATATTAGCAAAGTTCTAGATTACTATCAATCCCTAGGACGAGTGGATGTTAGAGAGTTAACACTGCCAGGGCAACAACCAAATTTCCGTGGACTGTTGCATAGGTACTTAAATGAACACTATGTAAGGCAGTGGAAAAACGAAGTGTTGCCATATAATGACTGTTTTTACAGAAATATGAACCTTTACAAGTTTATTGTATTAATTGACATTGACGAGGTGATTGTACCCAAGAGAGGTAGAGACTGGAGGTCGCTGCTGGAGCAGGTTGAGCCGAGGGCGATGGCCGCAGACACTCACACAAGGTCCTCCTACTGTGCTCCCCATGTCTACTTCTTGGACTCCATGCAGGAAGCTCATGGTCACAACCTCAATATACCGCCTTACTTGCACATGATGCAACACGTCTATCGTTCTGCTGCATACAACCTGCCCAGACAATTCGACAAATGTTTCTTTAACACTGAGTGTATTGTAACTGTCTTTAACCATCACCCCATGTCTTGCTTCGATCACTGCAACGTACTGCTAATGCCCGTTGAGCACGCCCAGATGAACCACTACCGTAAGGACTGTGTGTTTCCGATAAGAAGCAAATGCCCATTCTTTAAGAATCAAACAGTTTTTGATAACAGACTCTGGATATACAAGAAGAATCTGACCAAGAATGTGCAAGATGCATTACTTCATCTTGGGTTCTTAGAGTAAAAGTTTCTTGTAATGACTACTATATGGGAGTAAATTATGTTAATTTATGTGCACACACACACACACACACACACACACACACACACACACACACACACACACACACACACACACACACACACACACACACACACACACACAGGGGGCCTTGTAGCCTGGTGGATAGCGCGCAGGACTCGTAATTCTGTGGCGCGGGTTCGATTCCCGCACGAGGCAGAAACAAATGGGCAAAGTTTCTTTCACGCCTAAGTGCCTCTGTTACCTAGCAGTAAATAGGTACCTGGGAGTTAGTCAGCTGTCACGGGCTGCTTCCTGGGGTGTGTGTGTGTGTGTGTGGTGTAGGGAGAAAAAAAAAAAAAGTAGTTAGTAAGTTAGTAGTTAGTAAACAGTTGATTGACAGTTGAGAGGCGGGCCGAAAGAGCAAAGCTCAACCCCCGCAAAAACACAACTAGTAAACACACACACACACACACACACACATACACACACACACACACACACACACACACACACACACACATACACACACACACACACACACACAGTGTGTGTGTGTGTGACAAATCATGACAAATCGCCAACATGGGTTCAGGGAGGGTAAATCTTGCCTTACAGGCTTGATAGAATTCTACGATCAGGTGACAAAGATTAAGCAAGAAAGAGAGGGCTGCGCGGACTACATTTTCTTGGATTGTCGGAAAGCCTTTGACACAGTACCGCATAAGAGGCTGGTACATAAGCTGGAGAGACAGGCAGGTGTAGCTGGTAAGGTGCTCCAGTGGATAAGGGAGTATCCAAGCAATAGGAAGCAGAGAGTTACGGTGAGGGGTGAGACCTCCGATTGGCGTGAAGTCACCAGTGGAGTCCCACAGGTCTCTGTACTCGGTCCTATCTTGTTTCTGATATATGTAAATGATCTCCCGGAGGGTATCAATTCATTTCTCTCAATGTTTGCAGACGATGCTAAAATTATGAGAAGGATTAAAACAGAAGAGGACTGTTTGAGGCTTCAAGAAGACCTAGACAAGCTGAAGGAATGGTCGAACAAATGGTTGTTAGAGTTTAACCCAACCAAATGTAATGTAATGAAGATAGGTGTAGGGAGCAGGAGGCCAGATACAAGGTATCATCTGGGAGAGGAAATTCTTCAGGAGTCAGAGAAGGAAAATGACTTGGGGGTTGATATTATGCCAGACCTGTCTCCTGCAGCACATATCAAGCAGATAACATCAGCGGCATATGCCAGGCTGGCCAACATACGAATGGCATTCAGAAACTTGTGTAAAGAATCATTCAGAACTTTGTTTACCACATATGTCAGGCCAATCCTGGAGTATGCAGCCCCAGCATGGAGTCCATATCTAGTCAAGGATAAGACTAAACTGGAAAAGGTTCAAAGGTTTGCCACCAGACTAGTACCCGAGCTGAGAGGTATGAGCTACGAGGAGAGACTACGGGAATTAAACCTCACTTCGCTGGAAGACAGAAGAGTTAGGGGGAGAACATGATCACCACATTCAAGATTCTGAAGGGAATTGATAGGGTAGATAAAGACAGTCTATTTAACACAAGGGGAACACGCACAAGGGGACACAGGTGGAAACTGAGTGCCCAAATGAGCCACAGAGATATTAGAAAGAACTTTTTTAGTGTCAGAGTGGTTGACAAATGGAATGCATTAGGAAGTGATGTGGTGGAGGTTGAATCCATACACAGTTTCAAGTGTAGATATTGTGAGGGGTCTAGATCCCTCAGCTAGTTTTTCTAGTTTCAAGATTAGGCTAGTCACTCTAGAAACTGAAGCTTTCAAAATAACATATACTAGTGGGGTGTTGAATGAAAGCTTATGTTATGGACTATCATTTGTGAGTAGTTAGAGGTCTGTGATTGCTCTGTAGAGAGAATTACAGAAATTTTCCTGTTTCTGTGAAATAGGATGAGGTGGGTACTTGACTCTCTCAACGGTTTTACAGGGGGGGGGGGGGAGGGACAGTGGGGGTGAACGTTGCCTTTCTCCCCCTCCTTGTGAGACATCGCGCCTTTGTCTTTAGGCCTCCCCCCTCCTTGTGACATCACGGGACGCTCGAGGGTGAGTGTGCCTGTGATTGGTTTAGGCATGTGTGCTCCAAGCCGAGTTTTGGCGCGAAGAGCTGTGGTTGGAAGCGGCATCTTGGTAGTGTGCCGGCTTCGAGCTGATTGGTCAAGACAAAGTAGGGAGGAGGTATGGGCATTTGAGTTTCCCTGCCTGCCATAGAGGCAGTTTGAATTGGGCGACAAGCGGAGGAAGAAGTGTCTGGTGGAGGTGGCGGGCTGGCCACCTCCACCCCACGTTAATCGCTTCTCTCGTCCAAATTACTCATCGAATATGGCACTCCTGCCATCAGGGGTTGTGTCAAGGCCCAATTGGGTGAATTAGGGCCAAGGATTTACGGAAGGAACAGTAAAAAGCTAAAGAGACAGTTGACAGTGTCCACCCATGAGGCAGCTGGCAGAGCCTCATGGTGTAACAGGTGGGTCGAGTATCCTGTCTAGTGGCAATGGACAATTGGTGTTGGGCAGTGTAAGTGAGTGTGATATTACAGGCCCCTGTTGGATTTTTGGATTCCGCCAGGCTGCATCAGTGTGGGGACGCCACCGGCCATTGTCACCCCAGTGTAGAGCAAGGCAGGCTTTGGTTTGATGGGGTTGTTAGTGATTCCCCATCCGCGTGTGTACTCCTGTGGGCAGCAGCCTGCCAGCCTGAGGCACCCATGTGCGCGGCCGCCCACCTTGGCCAGCTGCCCGGGGGGGGCCACCCAGGCCACCCGCGCGGCCAAACCAAACCCCACCCCGCCCGCCAGCTCAGCCGGGTGGGGTGTTATGACGTCATGCGCTACCCGTGGCCACCCCCAGGCCACCCAGCCGCTCGGCCCGGCCCGGCCCGCGCACTGGCTACCACCACCCCTCACCCCCCCCCCCTCTCAGCTCGGGAGGGGGCGCTGTGGGCCACGCGGTGGCCACATGCCTTGGCCACTTTCCCGGGACAGCCTAGGGCCACATCTTGTCGACGCATGAGGAGCAAGCAAGCTAAGTGTTGACAGCTAGAGTGGTAGTGACCTGGGAAATGAGTACTATTATCATTGTGTACAGTGTGATGGGTACCGGTGGAAATTCACGGTAAGAGTTGTCTCAGAGCCTCGCCAGGCTAGAGAAGCAGCTGAGTGACAGCTGTCAGTAGGGTCCAGGATTGATAGGGCGGTACCTGGAGATAGATATTATACACGGGACCACACTGTAGTATCATAATGTATATATGTTGTAGACTGACTAGAGTATGTAACCGGTCAGTGTAGAGATTTACCATATAAGTGATCCAGCCTGTCGATTCTATATAATCGTTCAGACTGGATTAATGCCATAGAGTACCGTAAAATTATAATCATTAAAGGTAGGCAGGCCAGGTTGCAGGGATGTCAGTGGGTACCCTGAGGTCTGTGTAGTTAGAGTTACATTTACCTGGTGATATAATTTTCATTGATTATGTGAATGCCATTTCTATGTGTTCATTTGCATGTTTATGTACTGTGTTGTGTGGTAAGTCAGTAGATGTGATTGCTGACTTATTGCCTAATGATGTCATTAGCATGTGGGGTATGCTGACGGCATCATTATGTTGCAGGTTTGTGCAGTATTGTTTCAGTTTATATGATATTATTGCCCCAGGAACTGTGTTGAGGGTTTAAGGGACCTCTAGGATTATTCAGGGGAATTCACAGTGCTTAATGAGAGCAGGCAATTGATGGGTTAATTGCCTTGCTGAGGTAAGTGTGTGTTCACAGTAGTCCTTTGCAACGGTTGCAAGATAAGGGGGACAGTAATATTAGTATACTCTTGTGTGTTGCACAACCGTGTGTCATTATTGTGTGGGCACAGTAATTAGCGAGTTGCAGTAGCCGCAACCATATGTAGGCAGTGCATTTATGATGTTGCATGCCATTGTAGTGTGACCTATGTAACGCTGGGGTTACTTTGTTTCTTTAAGTTGTGTTGATGACTTAAGGATTCAGTGAGTTAATTAAGTAAGGGGTAATTAACTGGATAAGGGGTGCACACTTAGTATTGTGGAGTGAGTGAGGGCTGTTAAGAGAGAACAGTGTTGAGCTTGAGTGAGATACGTCTCGGGAGCAATTAATTGTCCATGTGACAACTAATTGACCACTCTAGCTAATTATGTAATTAGCCTTCTCATCATGAATTCACGTAGTGGGAGAGGATCTGTCAGAGTCTGTCAGTATTTGTGTTAACGTAATTTGCTCGAGACTAATTACCTTTCTGGGGTATAGCAATTAGTGGCTCAGGTTAATTAGTGGAGTAATTAACATTGGGGAGCTCCGATGACTCGGTAAAGCGAGGTCATGGAGCTAGCATAAATCGTTGTATTAATCATATCCTGTCTGAGGACAGTGGATTAGTGGCACATCTTGTTAATTAGGGTAATTAACTCCTTTCCCGTGAATTCACAGTGTTTGATGAGACCTGCTTAAGCAGTGCGGAGTGAGACGTATTTATGGATGATTAATTATCGGTCCTGGTGACAGTTAATTAATTGCTCAGAAGTAATTAGGGACTTAATTAGGGTAATTAACACTCACTAGTAATTTTTTGACACAGACTTAAGAAGCTACCAAGTTAGGGTAGGCTTAGTTAACGTAACTCAATGGGGATGTAATTAGTGGTCCGTTTGACCTTAATTGAGGATTACTCACTGAATACTTGCTGGAGTCAAGTGTGATGTAATATAAGTTTGAGTTATTGTTAACAAGAGAGAGACAAGTGTTAAAGATTAACGTAGAGTATCATCATGTTGTTGTCTAGTGTGAGACAATTGTTTGTGAATACTGTAGTACTTTGTTGCTGACTGCTGCGATCAGTCAATTAACGTAATTAATCACTTAAGGCAATTTCTTTTGGTTGTCGTCTGGTGACGAGAGTAGAGTCATCTAGGGATCTGTGGAGCTGTGTCCCAGAATCCCGCCTTGCCTGTCTTTGTTACTGTTTACAACAGTGCAACTTCTTGTAGGGAGTTGCAAAGAGTGTTCACACTGGGTTG